TGGGAAGGGTCTCCTCTGGAGTAAAGGCCTGAGCGGTGCTTGGCTCTGGTGAGCCTTTGTGGATCAGGCAACATCCAAAAAAAAAAAAAAATGGAGGGGGGGAGAAGGAATAACAGGAAACAATTTTAAAAAAAGGCAAAAAAAGAGAAAAAAACCAACACGTGGCCCCTAAAATATATACTGTATCTGAATGGGAGGCTGTTTCTGGGGAGGGGGTCTCCTCGGGAGTAAAGGCACGAGCGGGTGCTTGCTTCTGGTGGGCCTTTGGATCAGGCGAAGTCCCCCCCCTCCAAAAAGAAGAGGGGGGGAGAAGAAAGAAGGAATAACAGCCACAATTTAAAAATTAATTAAATTAAAAATGATTAAAAAATTTTAAAAAGGCAAAAAGAGAGAGAGAGAGAGAATAAAAACAACACGTGCTTCCCCCCCCCCAAAAAAAGTCTAATGATATTATATATCCGAATGGGAGGCTGTTTCTGGGAAGGGTCTCCTCGGGAGTAGGGCAACGAGCCCTTAAGAAGCCTCATAAGCTTCGGTTCAGTCCCACCAGGATTTCGAAGGCGAAGCTGATCTTTTCATCTACTGTAGGTTTCATTCCATTATTCCTTTATGTCTGATGAAGCCCGTGGGGGGGGGGAGGGTGTCCGTGAAAGCTTAAATTAAAATAGAATAGTCTTTTAAGAGGCTGCACCATTTTTTTTGGTCTGTTTTGTTTCTTTGGAGGGTCCTAGTGAGTGTCTTGCTGGGCGCGGGATTCGAACCGGGCTCTCCAGGATCCTAGGCCAGCTCTGGCCACCAACCACACCGGCAGCAACCGCTTGGTTAGATGCTGAGATTTCGAAGTCGGTTTTGTTTGTGTGTGCGGCTTGTTTTAATTGCTATTTTGGGGAACCTGTGTCTTATTCCTTTTGTAGCTGCCCAGAGGGAGTGCCTTGCCCCCTACATGGGCAGCGTGAAGAAAGAAAGAAAAAAGAAAGAAAGAAAGAAAGAAAGAAAGAAAAGTTAGAAGGAAGGAAAGAAAGAAGGAAAGAAAGGAAAGAAAGAAAGAAAAACAAGTTAGAAGGAAAGAAGGAAGGAAAGAAAGAAGGAAAGAAAGAAAAAACAAGTTAGAAGGAAAGAAGGAAGTAAAGAATGAATGAAAAAGAAAGAAGGAAGGAAAGAAAGAAAAAGAAACAGAAGTTAGAAGGAAAGAAAGAAAGGAAAGAAAGAAAAAACAAGTTAGAAGGAAAGAATGAATGAAAGAAAGAAGGAAGGAAGGAAGGAAGGAAGGAAAGAAGCTAGAAAGAAAGGAAATAAATGAAAGAAAGAAAGAAAGAAAGAAAGAAAGAAAAAGAAAGAAAGAACAAGTTAGAAGGAAAGAAGGAAGGAAAGAAGAAAAGAAAGAGAAAGGAAAAAAGAAAAAAACAAGTTAGAAAGAAGGAAGGAAGGAAGGAAAGAAAGGAAAGAAAAAGAAACAAGTTAGAAGGAAAGAAAGAAAGAAAGAAAGAAAGAAAACCATATGGTTTGGTCGCAGTGCTTAACTGTGGAGTTTAATATGTATTTTAAAAACTCTGCCGACCCGACAGCTTGGTGAACTCGGCTGCTGTTCTAATGTTTAACCTCCTCTTCCCTGAACAACGACGATCTGTTTCATCTGTTTCATCCACCCGGGTGAGGTGGGCTAGGTAGAAAAACAGAAAGCGTGACTCACCCGAAAGCCATCTCGTACTTTGCTTTTGTAGACCTCGGGTCCTCCTCGTGACCCTTCGGCTCGTAAATCTGTAATTTCACAGTACTCGGCTGCTGTTCTAATGTTTAACCTCCTCTTCCCTGAACAACGACGATCTGTTTCATCTGTTTCATCCACCCGGGTGAGGTGGGCTAGGTAGAAAAACAGAAAGCGTGACTCACCCGAAAGCCATCTCGTACTTTGCTTTTGTAGACCTCGGGTCCTCCTCGTGACCCTTCGGCTCGTAAATCTGTAATTTCACAGTAGCTCTCCATTTTCCGTCCCATCTATCTCGAAAGGTTGTGATGATTAAGGATGAGGGATGGGGCTTCTTTCCAAGCGATTGGGTCTCCAACTTTTCCCATATCTCTTTTATGAGCTATTTTGAATCAGCTGACTTTTGGAGTAAGAAGGTATGTGATTTTTTTAAGCTTTGCATCCTAGGAGGGGAAAAAATCTTCATTGGTGACTGGACACAGGGAGAAAGTTCTCTTTCCAACTGCTGTATTTCACTTCTCTTTTTTTTCCTTCTTTTCTACAGAGCAGGAAACAAATAGTATTAAATGCTTGTTTCTATTTTTTTTTAAAGAAGCTGTGGCATGAGTCATATTGTTTTTCTGTCTGTAGAATCTTCCAGTTTGCTTGTCTGTGTTAATTTTCTAGAGCAAGTTGTCTTTTTTTCTGGAAGAGAGAGGTGTGGTCCAGAAAATATGAAAGTCCCATCCATAATGGCCCACCACCACCAGTTCCAGTCTGCCTTGTCGCCTTTGAGTTTAAGCTTTGCATCCTAGGAGGGGAAAAAATCTTCATTGGTGACTGGACACAGGGAGAAAGTTCTCTTTCCAACTGCTGTATTTCACTTCTCTTTTTTTTCCTTCTTTTCTACAGAGCAGGAAACAAATAGTATTAAATGCTTGTTTCTATTTTTTTTTAAAGAAGCTGTGGCATGAGTCATATTGTTTTTCTGTCTGTAGAATCTTCCAGTCTGCTTGTCTGTGTTAGTTTTCTAGAGCAAGTTGTCTTTTTTCCTGGAAGAGAGAGTTATGTGGTACAGAAAATATGAAAGTCCCATCCATAATGCCCCCCCACCAGTTCCAGTCTGCCTTGTCGCCCTTGAGTTTTACAGTACAGTGGTGCCGCGCTTGATGATGTTAATTCGTTCCAGGGGAATCGCTGTAGACAAGCGGGGCATGACTGTATTGTTCCAAGCTCTCTCTGCACAGAAGGGCCTGGCGCGCTCTGGTCCATGGGGGTCACGAAGAGTCGGATACCACTTAAAGACTAAACAACAATACTGAGCATGGACTCTGGCTCACTTTAGTGGCCAGTTCTGGTGATGACATCGTAGAAGTATATTTCTGATTTTAAGCCGGTGGCCATTTTGAAAACCCGATGATCAGCTGTTTTTGTTCGTCGTAAAGTGAAAATCAGTTCCCAAAGCAGGGAACTGATTATCACTAAGCGAAATTCCCCCACTTAGACCATTGTTTTGCGATCGCAGAAACATCGTTGTAAAGCGGATTTGTCGTAACACGGGGCGATCGTTAAGCGGGGCATGACTGTATTGTTCCAAGCTGTCTCTACTGTTATTCAAAGTGATTTGAGTCTGGCTTGTCTTGAGTGAGCATTTAAGAGCCATTGGCTTTACAAAATACCTGTCCCTGTAACAGTTGATGTGCCCCGATCCAGTGACTTACAGGTTTAGATTTCTTATGAAGTTGCGTGGCTACAACCAGGTAGGTGGGGCTCGTCAGCCTTGGAATGCAGCCCTTCGAGGAGAAGGAAAACTCTGATTCACGCTCTGGAGAGGACGCTCATACGGAGCGTGTTATCATGGTCTTTCGAGACTGAAGGGTGCCTAAGGTTGGCTACAGGAACCGACATGCTCAGCAAGCGCAATTCTAACTTTCTCTCTGGGTATAATTTCCCAGACAATAAAACAAAAGTTTCCAAGTTTAGATTAGAATTGAGGATTGTGATTCTGAGAGGATAGGCCCTGTCCTCATATATATTTTTTTCATGCTGACAGGCACAGATTACTTGTTTGCTCACGTGATTGACATTGCTCAACATGGGTCCCTTGTTTGCTCGCGTGTTTTACTATTGGCCATGAGTCTAAGAAGGAGCCCCTCCACACCACCTTCTAGGAGCATTCAGCCAAACGGAGGTGAAACCACTGCAAAAATTATATGAGAATCTTTGTTGTTGTTGTTGTTTAGTCGTTAGGTTGTGTCCGACCCTTCGTGACCCCATGGACCAGAGCACGCTAGGCCCTCCTGTCTTCCACTGCCTCCCGGAGTTGGGTCAAAGTCATGTTCTCATCTGAGAAGCTATGATCAGTCAAATGTCCCTGAAGGCAATACCCATTGGCTGATAGTTACAGATGCTGCAGAGACGTCCAGCAAAATCGGTCGTTACGCTGTACGTCTTCTGTTCATCTGGTTCATGATGCAGGGAACTGGTCAAAAAATATCTAAGGAGGATTTGAAGCCACATTTGAAGTTCCATTAGCTGGGGGAGAGAAGTATCTGATGGTGGAGCCAGAGATTTAAGAGTTCAGTTCCCCCTGGACGTTCCAGAAGACACAGCCCGGGTGGCTTTGGGCAAGCTGCAGAGTCCCAGGGTGTCCGCAGAAGGAGGGAATATTCAACTACGCCTGAGTGCTCTCTACACTTTGAAAAGGGTTGTTATAAATCAGAATGGACTTGATTGCACGCGATGATGATTGAAATGACATTGGAATGGATCCATATGACCAGATTGAATCAGGAAAGCTTGGCTTTCTCATGCACGTAGGTGTTTGTAGATGTCTAGTGTTTTCATTTATTTCTGCCTTTCCATGAGTAAGCTCAAGGCACTGTACATATGTCTCCGTATCAGGGAGGGCAAAAAGCTGAGGAGGGCAAGATGAGAAAGAGTGACTGACTGACCTGAGATTAGTGTGAGTTAGGCGGGAATTAAAACTTGGATCTCCAAGGTGCAGTTCAGCACTAATCACTTACACTAGTTTTATCAGTTACTGGACCTGAGAGGAGCATCTATATATATCAGATATAAAGGGGAGCTTTATACTCTACTGTGATTTGTACCCTTAATGTTAGTCTCAACTAAAGCAGACCCATTGAATCAATTGATATTGTGTCAACATTTAGTTAGAGGAGGTACAAATTTAATAAGATCTTTAGATGAGTCCAAACTGGGAAGAGTAGAAAATACTTCAGAAGATGGAATCAGGATTGACTTAAACAGATTGGAAAGCTGGGCCAAAATAAACAAAAAGAGACCTGGCAGGGGAAAAATATAAAGTTCTATACTGAAGTAGGAAAAATCAGATGCACAGGTGGATGACAACTGGCTTGGCTAGTACCACCACATCAACAGTGTGATGTGATGGGGAGGAGGAGAGATGCAGTGCTAGGTTGCATCAGCAAATGTTCACATCAAATGCCACTCTCTTCTACAGTGGTGCCTCGCTTGATGACGTTAATTCGTTCCAGCGGAATCGCTGTAGAGCGAAAACATCGTAAAGCGAAATTAAAAAGCCCATTGAAATGCATTGAAAACCTTTCAGTGCGTTCCAGTGGGCTAAAAACTCACCGTCCAGCGAAGATCCTCCACACGGTGGCCATTTTCGGTGCCTGTATAGCGAGGAATCCATTCCTAAGCACAGCGAGGAGCCATTTTAAGCCGGTGGCCATTTTGAAAACCCGATGATCAGCTGTTTTTGGTCGTCGTAAAACGAAAATCAGTTCCCAAAGCAGGGAACTGAT